TGGCTGTGGCATTGCTTATTTTTTCTTATAATAGCAGCTGCACCAGTTAGAGAACTGTGGGGGTAAAAATACTTGGTAAGGGCACATGATGTGTTAGTAGCAGCACACAGGCCTGACAATGCCAAAAAAGTCATTTAAACACAAAAGGAATAAAGTTCCATGCACAAACGTATCATATTTTGGCAACATACAAGAACTCTAATCATGCAAATATATGTTCCCCAAAGTTTTAAAACATTTGAATTTTTAGCATTCTTGGTATTTGCAAGCTGCTCCAGAACACAACCAATGAAAACTTGCTGCTTTTCTCATTTTGCCCTTTTCTCTGAAACAGTTGCCCACATCCTGCTTTTTGTCATGTTTTCAGGGATCTGTCTGGCAACAGAGTGTAACTTCAGAGCAAACTATGTCAACAATAAGCCCCCCATCCATAAATATAACCCTGTAAAGAAACACCCTGCCCCCATTTCAAATTCCTCTCATACAAGAACCAACCAACTGCATCCTGGGCTGCATCAAAAGGAGCGTGACCAGCAGGTCGAAGGAGGTGATTCTGCCCCTTTACTCTGCTCTTGTAAGACTTCATCTGCAGTATTGTGTGCAGTTCTGGTATCCTCAACATAAAAAGGACATGGAACTGTTGGAACAAGTCCAGAGAAGGGCCACAAGAATGATCAGGGGACTGGAGCACCTCCCGTATGAAGACAGGCTGAGGAAGTTGGGCTGTTGAGCCTGGAGAAGAGAAGGCTGCGTGGAGACCTCATAGCAGCCTTCCAGTATCTGAAGGGGGCCTACAGGGATGCTGGGGATGGACTCTTCATTAGGGACTGTAGTGATAGGACAAGGGGTAACAGGTTAAAACTTAAACAGGGGAAGTTTAGGTTGGCTATAAGGAGGAAATTCTTTCCTGTTGGGGTGGTGAGGCACTGGAATGGGTTGCCCAGGGAGGTTGTGAATGCTCCATCCCTGGCAGTGTTCAAGGCCAGGGTGGACGAAGCTTTGGGTGAGATGGTTTAGTGTGAGGTGTCCCTGCCCATAGCAGGGGGTTGGAACTAGATGATCTTAAGGTCCTTTCCAACCCTAACTATTCTATGATTCTAAGAAAAAAAACAAAAAACAAACCTCTCAAACCCCCCATTTTCCACAAGTCTCATTTTCCCAGAAAGCAGGCTTACAATATCAGAGCTGCACACAAAGCCACTGCAGAGATACCTGACACAGATATATGGTGGTACCTTCAATGTAAATATGTTCAATGTCCACAGCAGATGACATTACAGAAACTGATAGTCTTTAACTTACACAGTTAGGAATACAGGGCTTGCATGAACCAGGTATTGGAATTACTACCCAAAATCCATCACAAAGTCATAAATATTCAGCATACCTTAGATTGCAAATCATTAATCTTATTTTTTTTTGTGAAAAAGCTACAGAACTTGAATATAGAACTGAGTGTTCTACATTCCGAGTATAGAGTGGCAGTCTCTAGACTTGATTTTTAAATCAGTTGGGAAAAGTAAAGTGTCTGCCAGCATGCAGCATAGCCAGTTCCCTTACCGATAGTCTTCTGAGGCAAACTAAGTTGAAGTCTAATACTCACTTCTTTATAGAGCTTGTTAAATGACAAAGTATTTCTTTCTTGCATGTTAAAACTTCTATAAACTCTTGATTCAGTTCCTGTTCAGCTTGCCAGTACACCATGATTCAACCATTTGTGTTTACAATGTAAATAAAAAATGTTTTGTTGAAACAAAGAGGTCTGTTAATTTGATCAATTTTCTCCCTTCCATTGCTTCTAAATTTTAAATATATAAACTCTCTGCAAATTACATGAATATAGATATTTTGCAACTTTGCGTACCTATATTCAAATCTACGCTGATTTCTGTCACAGATGATTTCTTATGTTCATGTAGGGCTTTTTGTATTAAATTTGTCCATAACTGAATACTGCACTTTGAAATTTCATAACATTTGCTTACCTCCCTCTTAATAGCAAGTCTCTAGTCTGCATTATATTGATATTTCAAAGGTGCATTTGTCCTTTTATAACATCTAAACTTCATAAGTTATGGTGAACATTATGCATGAACTATCTAAACCTTATGGTTTTGATCACAATTTTGAAGAAGTAAATATGAATAAAATGAAGGCACACAAGTAATTTTGCAGACAAATCAGCAAACTGCTGCATACCTGGCTGTGCACTAAAACATTTTCATCATCTGTTATCAAATGTTCTTTATGTGCATTTCAGTATGTATATTTGCAATACTTAAGAAAACTAAAAAGCTCCAGCATTTTTAGCCATCTTCCACGCAGCTTTCAAGTTTGTACTTTTTGTCATCTACTCTATTTCCAAGAGGGACTGGCTTTTCATAACAACTTCTTAGACTTTTGAAAAAGTAAAAGTTTGACTAGTAGAACACCCTAGAGAAAAATATTTGCCATTTGACCACTACTTTTAAAAAGCAACAGTGCTATTGAAATATCCCATTTTCACTTTCAACTATCTATCTACAAATGTTGAGATTCCCGTCAGAAAAATCTGTTCTTTTCACAAGAAGTTTTGGAACAAGTAAAGCACACACAATATCACTTAAATAGTACGTAACTGGTTTGACAAAAGAAAGTAATTGCCATTTGTCAGCTATGTGACACATTAAACTTCATGGAGAAATTATAAAATGAGAAAAAGAGATAGAGATTTATTACTAATCACTGTACTGCTTCAACACTGCGGTAAAATTTGCTTGCAATGTTTCTATCAGTTTTGACAACAACTAAACACACATATTTAATTTTTTATCTAATCTGTCTTCAGTGTCTCACACTGCTTTACTGTGCTCATCCATCTAGGATAAAGCAACTAAAGGGTGAAGGATTAATAACAGTAAAATAGGCATCTATTTAATCACTCTGAAAAAAGATAATTGTGTGAACTGGGAGAGGGAGAGATATCAGTCAGCATTCTTTCAACATAAAATAACCCAACTGTATTGCATATGGCTACTTCATGAAAAATTAAGAAGAGCACATGAAAACATGATACCGTCTCAGTTATGTACAGTTTAGAGGATCTCTAAAGTACAAGAATTAAACCCAATTCTGATGTGCCAAAATGATTCACCCAACTTGAAATTCAGTGGTATTGAATTCAGAGTAGAGATGCCAATACATGTTTCTTGTGTGTTTGCTCTTCTCCAAACATACAGTACCAAATATGCTACCAAATATGCTTAAATTCAAAACAGTCAAGCATTCAGAAATGCATTCCTAATCTTTATTTTAATAATACTGAAACCCAGATACGTAAATCTTCATAATGGTTCAATGGTTCCAGACTCAGCTCCATACAAGTCTTTTTAGTAAGTTTCTTTCAGATTTTCAAACCCGACATTTGTGTTAAGCATTTGCATGCTATATGAACCACTTCTTCCAGATGAAAACTGATTGAAAAGTTATATAGGCTTATATAACTGGAAATTAAGATGATGGAGATGTTTACAGTGTTACAGGAATTAATAAGGAATTAGTATTACAGGCAATATTTACTCCCTAACAGAAGTTAAAATATTCCCTGCTTACTGGCACTAATTCTTTTTCTAATAACTGGAAAGTAGAGAAGCCTTCTAAAGCATTAACACATTTAAAAATGTATCAACAGTAGTCATTATGATCTTCATTAAAAAAATGCTACAGTATCACCATATTGAGCAAACATAGCCTCAATAGCAGTGCTCTTCAGTATAAAAAGAATTTTTACTTGTCAGACACCTCATAGAGCCAACTTACAGGCTTCCCCATAAGTTGTTTATTACTAGAGAATTGTTAGCCTGCAGGAAAATTGTTGTGCTACTTCACAGTTCTTGTTTTGAAAACTTTCATCCATGGTCTATATTTTTATAAACACAGAATAGCCAGAACTGTACTCATTTTACAATTTCACTTCAATTGCATTAGAGAGGCAGTTCGTCAAAGAACACTTTGCCACTAAACCAGCAAATATGAGAGGGTAAGATAGATGTGTCAGAATTAATCTTTCTAACCCCTGAAATATCAAGCTTAAAATCTTAAAAAAAATTTTACTGCAGTGCTCCCTCTCGTTCACCCAGGGACTTCTCATAATAGTAGTCAGAAATCTGGTCCTGTTATGTTCCTAGCTGAGAAAAAGATTTTACCTAAAACGTTAGTAAAGAAGACAATACTCTCTTTCGCTATCAATCTGCTTAGAACAAGGGCTACATACACGCTAGCAACTAATATTTCAACAGAAACAATCAAGAAACCCCAAACACCAAGAAGTGAAAGTTATTCATGCTTGAAGTCATAAAAGATGCACTGAAATTTGAAATAAAACCTATTTCCCAGTTCCATATCATTGTTATGGATTAATTGACCTCAGGAATTGTTAGATTTCATTTAAGGAACTTAGAGCATTCATTCCTTGTGTTGCATTCAAGAACTAATGATAATAGAAGTCTTTAAGTGATTGCAGTTTTCTTACTTTTACTATATACAGATAATGTAAACTTTGATTAACTTTTCTAAAGCAGTTTTTCACATTCCAGTCAGAAGAGTCTCATTTCTCTGCATGGCTGCTTTGCAAAAGTATATGCAGCTCTCTAACTCAGTAAAATTCCAGGATTAAAATCTAACAAGTTGCATCTAAAATGGACAAAGTTAACAGGTTTTCTGCATCAAAGTGAAGCCTAAGGAAAAGATGTCAAAACACTAAAATTTGCAGTATTTCAGAAATAATATAGTTTCAAAATACTGTATTAATAAGGGCCAATGAACAGTTCACAGTCTCTTTGACATGAATTTCAATATTCACGCAAAGTAAAACAAAAGACACGTGTACACATCTATTCCAGTTAACAATCAAGCAGTACTTCAAAGCAAGCAAAGGTAGACTTTTCACTTTTTTTTCTTCCCTTATAAGGACTACAGCACATTACAAAATTCAATTTAAAGCAAAACCACTTGGGCCTTACCTCTGTCACTGAAGTCATCCACAAGAATGATTTCTGCTATGAGGCTATCTGGAGTGCGGTTGATAATACTGTGTATTGTTCGCAGGAGTGAAGTCCAGCCTTCATTATGAAATGGGATAATTATGCTAGTATTTGGTAGCTTTTCCAAGTACACCTTGTGCTTACAGCTGGAGAGACAAGAAAATAATTGTATAAGCATACTGAAAAGTCTGAGTTGGCATATACTATGGGCCATTCAACCATCATGGTTTCTGGCATGAAATCCAGCAGTGTAATCAAGTGGTACTTTCACATAACAATAACTAGTTCATTTAAAATATTTCTATTGCTTAGGATATGCAATACATCTGAACAATGACAAAATTTAAGTGGAATGAGCAAAAATAACAAATCACTGGTTTGAGTGAGATTCTTTTCCTTCACTGAAAACTTTACCTTGCAAAATGACAGAGGACACATGTTCTATGACATTACTTCCAGAAAATAAAACCTCTTATCAGAAAGAATTCTGAAACATAATATGAAACAAAAGAAAATCTGAAATGATTTCTTTTTTGTCCATAGCATAAAAAAAAAGAATTATAAAAACAGTCTACCACAAGAGACAAACTCTAGACAACAATTCAGTATTATCCTGGGTGATGCGTGCTTATAGTATGTGAAAGAACAACATCCACAAATACAACTCCAACTTCACAGCTAGGTATCCAAAATAACTGCTGCTATTAAATATGGAGAGAAACCGACACATGATTTTCAAAATGCAGACTGATAAAAACAAGAAAATGTAAACAACCTTTCATTTTTCAAAGGAAAGCACTGCACCTTCAGCATTTTAATGGAATGGCATCTATGTAATATCAGTGCTTAACCTTACCATTTTCAGTATTGAGTTGTTTACATATTTGTGCAAAACAACCCATTTTTTAAAATAAATAATGGCCTTGCAATTCAGTTTCTCCTGATAGCTGAGAATATTTCAAAACTAACGTTCAGGTTAATGGAACTGATAGGATTTCATCTTTCATGTTTTGTTGAAAAAGTGGGGGAAAGGGACACATTCTTTTGCTGTTAATACACCGTGGCATTTTCAGCTCTGGGGACAAAGTAACTGAATGATTTCTCATTCTGCACCCAGATAAAGATATGCGTACAAGCAGAAATGTCAGCCTTGTGATGAACACACAAAAACAGCAAAAAAAAAAAAAAAAAAAGGTGATGGTGTAAAAGTAAGACCTGCAACTTCTGGGTTTAAAAAAAGTGTAGGTATCTTTGCTGCTTTTCAGAAAGAATAACTATGCATAACAATTACTGCTGTAGGTTATAATGTTGATTTACACATATTTGCAGCTTAATTTGCATTTCCACTTATCCTGGTTTTGGATGGGATAGAGTTAACTTTTTTTCCTAGTAGCTGGTACAGTGCTGTGTTTTGGCTTTACTCTGAGAATAACGCCAATAACACATTGATGTTTTTGTTGTTCTTATGTAGCAATTATCCCCAGCAAGGACTTCTCAGTCTCACATACTCTGCCAGTGAGGAAGGGCACAAGAAAGCCAGGAGGAAGAAGAGACAGGACACCTGACCCAAACTAGCCAAAGGGATATTCCATACCACAGCACATTATGCCGCATATAGAAACCGGAGGAAGTTACCCAGAAAGGACTGATCATTGCTCGGGTCGAGCTGGGTATCGGTCAGCAGGTGGTGAGCAATTGTACTATATATCACTTGCTTTTCTTGGGTTTATTCCTCTTTCTCCTTTTCATTAAAATTATTATTAATAAGAGTAGTATATTTTACTTTGGTTTGTTTCAATTATTAAACTGTTCTTAACCCACGGGTTTATCTTTTTTCAGATTCACCCCATCCCCCCAGGGGCTGGGGTAGGGGGGAAAGGGAGTGAGCAGCTGCATGTTACTTAGTCGCTGGTTGGTGTTAAATCACAACACACTTTATAAATGCCACTTACAAATCAATATTTACTAGTTTATTGTACAGCTACCACACTGACAAAGTGTTCCAAAGGTATAAGAAAATGCTCACAGCTACTACAGTTGTATTTGCAAAATATTAGCCGTTATGTAGTTATGAATAAGCAATCACGTTTTAGGATGTTTTCTTAAAAAATTAGATTTAAATTTGTAATTCAGACATTTCTTCCTAAGATGTGGCAACAACAAATTTAATGACGAGCTATTTGCAAAAATAATACTTTTTGAAACTTTTTAATAAGCGGTTTGCTGGTAGAAGAGATATACCCCCTGGAAAATGGACAGTCACTTTGCGAGAATAAGTTCTGGGGAAAACAGTACTCATTACCTCGTGACAGAAAAGCCTAAGTATATATTCTAACATTTTCGGAGGGGGGAAAAAAAAAAAAAAAGAAAAGAAGAAATCTGCGGCAGCAACAGAATTAAGTAAAAATTCTTTTTCTTATCTGTAGGAAAAAGAAGGCTGTCAAATTAAGAAAGTCACCTAACAAACCCACCAACTACTGTTGGCAGCTGTTTGCCAACAATGATGCTTCCTGGACAAGAACAAGAGCCACTAGTATACGTGTACTTATTATGCTATTCTTCAAAGTAGAATTTTTTTCCTCTAGCATTTGTAACTCCCAGTAAGTATGGTTTTTAAAATGAATAAGTTCTTCATAAAACCCTTATATAACACACAACTCCCCAAAATACTACAAAAAACCCAAGCAAAAGAATGCCACACTTCAGACTACAACTTTCAAGTGGTAAGGGTAAAAAAGAGTAACACCCAGAACATGCAAACACATCAGAATGTTGTTTATTTCTAAACAACATACCTTACATACCTTTTGAAAAAAAATTGTACTGAAATTTGTGTATTTGCATGATCAATATTGTAACCTCAAACGTATATGGATGGGAAGGTCATTAGATTTGGACATACTCATTGATGGTTTCAGGGTAATTGCATATCCTAAGTGATGAGAAGCAGCAGCAACATTGATGGACTTGGCTTTAAACTAATTAATTCTTCCAACAGAATAGATTTTTCTATTAAACCCAGAAGAAAGACACACTTATAAGACAGAAAAGAAAAACACCTTACATTTTCTTAACACCTCCATCATTCCAATTTGACCTTTAATCCTCATGTTATTTACTTTTACTTTGATAGTGACTGCAAAGGCATCTGGCTATGTGAATAGATTTCTAGTAAGAGCCACAAGTCACCAAAATGATTTTTCCTACTTTTTCAAATAAGATGGTCAGATTCTCAAGTTAATAGAAATGGAAACTTGAATTTCATCATCTTCTATTGTTAAGACAGTCTCTAAGGTTTCATAGTAGTGCCTTACTTGCCTTTCTTCAGCAAGTTAAATTCCACTCAGTTTTAGCCCCTTGGTTTCTGACACAAGACTTCAAACTTAACAGAAGGTCACTATGTTTTAGAAGATGTGATAGAGAAATCCATTTTATCTGAAGTTCTATTCAGCATTATCTAAAGCAGGGTATAGCTGGCTCTGTGCTGTGATGGGCTGCAGGACAGATCTGATAGATAGCTGTAATGGTCAGAAAAGGCCCATGAATTGTAATAAGGACACAGAGATCCACTGCCGAGAATTTGATTAAATAAGAGAATAATCATATATGCGTGCGGCATTTGTTTAAAGTCCATCAGTGTGGTTGTTAATATTCTGCATAATAGAAGTGATGCCAAACACCCTGGCCGCAACAAGACTACTTGGAAGCAGAGTAGTATTGCTTCTTGTAAGCCATTGCTAGTCTTCAATGTGATCAGGTCTTTGTGCATAGAAGAAAAAAACTAGGAATCATATCACTAGGTCAGAGTGCAGTCCACAGTCATAAACTATTATTACATTTAAATTTACTAATGTGTCTACAACACAGAATAAACCAGTGTAGATAGATGAATGATTCATGTATTAAGCAGAAAAGTTTTTATATGCAACAGTAATTAACAAACCGATAAATCTTGACACACATAGAATTATCTTATCTAATACTTCAATTCACCTGTGTTTTAGTGATGATAATGATGCTTAAAACCAAGAAGTATCAGCAAGTTTTTAGACAAGCAACTATAAAGATACTTTTACCATTAACTGCAACAATTTTGCCTCAGCATCAAAAATTTTTAGAAGTGTTTTTTCAACACTTTTCTTATAAAAAATTCTGTGGAGTGCATTTAGAGAAGTGCTGACAAAGTTTGATCATAGCTTCAAAACTAACCTTGCTTTATTATTCATGCTGACTTCAAGGTTCCAACATACCTCTTAATAAATACCTTATTTTTCAGCCACCATAAAGAAGGCACAATTTCGAGACTACATGCTTTTTGCTGTCACCAAAATACAGACTCTGATTTTAATATGTCTACTCTCTAAAATTAATCTGGTTATTAGCTTAAATACCCTGTGGAATGAATGTTTTAAAACTGAGATTCTTGATTCTCCAAAGAAGTGAGAAATTATTATACCAGAGACTTTCATATTTCCTGAAGAATGCAATCTTACCAAAATTTATTAAAATAAAATATAAAGCAAGATTTACTGTAGAAAGAAAATATACTATGTATAAAAAAAGGATTAACATTACCATCAAATTTTAACAGTTTTTAAAATGAGCACTAATATTCATTAGTTGTTGTTTTTTTTTTTTAATTATGGCATATGTTAAGTGAAACTGAACTGGCTTCCTACAGAAATACTTCAAATACAGCTGAGCAAAATATTTTTATTTTCCAAAGACTCACAATTTACCATTTACTTCTAAATTGCAGTGTCCAAATATCTGAATCAACAAATCAGGACGGAGTACGGCAACAAAGAAACAACAGTATGTATCTAGGACTCATGGTAGGATACTATTCAAGGGGGAAGAATAACCCAACAACCAAGGCTGCAAAAGTACTAATAAAACTTTAATAGGATACTACAGATTGGCCTTACTAAAGTCTAACAGATGCTTTCCTAAAGATGTGTCCTTTTTTGCAATTAATGTATTTAAGTGCAACACACCACCACTTATTCATGGAACAATGCTGAATAAGAGGTTCAATAGCTACGGTTAAGAGAATGACAATTTCTTAGCACAAATGTTAATTCTTCAAACTTATTACTAAATAAATTCTTAAATCTTAGAATAATTTCTGTTTTAAGTCTGAAAA